TCCCCGCTCGCGGCCCAGCCCGCCCAGGCCTCTCGCGAACATGGCGCTTGTCCCCAGCCAGGTGCTGCGGGTGGCGATCCTACTGTCCTACTGCTCTATCCTGTGCAACTACAAGGCCATCGAAATGCCCTCGCATCAGACCTACGGAGGGAGCTGGAAATTCCTGACGTTCATTGATCTGGTAAGGCCGTCCCCTCCCCTCCCCCGACCGCCCCGCACCCCGTGCCTGTGTGTGTTTGGGGTGCCCGAGCGCGCGCCTCTACCGTCGACCCTCGTCGTCGCCTCCTCCCCCATGAGTGCGTCTCAAGGCCTGGCTGCCCCAGCAGCGGCGTCTTCTGAACCACCCGTCCTTACCTGGTAGCTGGGGCACGAATGGAGGTGGGGCGCAGCCAGGTGGTGGGCTTTTTGGAGGGGAATACAGAACTGCTTCTAAGAGGTAACACGGGAAGATTCTTCAACTAACAAAAGCATCGGATGACCTTGATCATGAATGACCTCAGACCCATTCGCCCTCAAGGTGCTTTCTAGAGCATCCACCGTGGGATAAACTGGCAGCAACTCAAGGAAACTGAGTTTTGTCTAGTTACTTGGAGCTTCGCCTGAAAAAAGGACCCCAAATGCTCCTCGTCAGGGAAAGAAAGCACTTAATAAAGTTGTCTTTGCATCTGTTTTTTGCCCATTGTCGGTAATCTACTTCCAACCTTTCCCCCCAAAACACTAGAGGAGAGAGATTTTCAAAATGCATTCCCAGTGTGACTGTACACTCTTCTGTGTCTTCCCTGTAAAAGTTTGCAGTAGTGTGCAGAAGCAGCTCCTCTATTGGCACAACATGACCGGCTTGACAGGTGCAGGTCATTATTATGATGATGATTTGCAAAGCTTATCTACTTCTGGCACCAAAAGGGCCGCCACAGAGAATCAGAACCTGGGCGTAATGCCCAGTAATGACATTGGGTGAACCTACGAACTTCAGGGTGAGAGGTGACTAAGACTTGGTCTCACACACACCAAGAGATTTATTAGGTATGAGCAGAGTGTTAAAACAAAGGCAGCGAAGTTCTAAAGGACTTAGAGAAAATTTAGAACAGGACTGTCTGTCCAAGGTTATACATAAAGTTGGCCACACCAGCAACATTATAATCTCTTGTTGACCCTCCATTTTGATGAAGAGAATTTGATACCTATTTAAAGATATTTCCAAAGTCTTAGTTAGGATGCCTCAAAGAAATGCAGTCAGAGGCTGTTGGTTTAGAAATACCACCTTATATTAACATTATATTAGATACTTTCAAAGAGGAATTTAAATGATTTTTACCAGCAATCTCCAAACTGCACATACCCTTAAGCACACACGATTTTCCAGGACATATAGTGTTGCAAGAGTTTCAGTTTTCAGATCCTCAATTTCCAACTCTTTCTTGAAACTAATCTGCCTCTGAACATGCATGGTGCCTTCCAGTTCTCCTTTCTTCCTGCCCATTCATCTAAGTGATGAGCACATGACTAGGCTCTATACTGCGTTTTTCTGTCTTTCCTGATAGATGGTTGTCACCAGGACTATCTTCATATTCGATTGAAAAATGAAGTTGGAGTCGTTTTGACAGACGATTTTATTGGGTTGATTGGCTTGTCAATGAGGATTGGCTTTGCCAATTTATGTAGCAGATATTTTCCATAGATTGAACTAAATCTGCAGCTCCGAGGTTTTGATAAATATGTATATAAAGCAAGATACCATATGCAGAGCGCTAGAAATCATGTCCCTTTTTCAAGTGTTTAAACTTATGTTAAAGATGTTTAGATCTTATTTAAAAATATGTGCATAGATTTTTCAGAATTCAGATTTAGGGGCTATATGAGCTAAACTCCTTTTGGTTCATTGCCTTATCCCACTCCTAAGTCAGATCTCACTTAGAGCTGGCCCATTTGAGTGTTACCAAGGAGCAGTGCTGAGCTAAAATACTCTACCAGAGTCATAGGTAATATGAACAGCAGCCTCCTGGCATTAGGTGCTATTTTGGGGAAGCAATGGGAAGGGTTAGCAGGTGAAAAGGGTAAAAATTGAGGGTGTTGGTTAATCCAAGAGAGATGCTTCTCATGTTGGCATTGCTTACTTTGTGTTAAGAAACAAGGCTCACCAGAAACAATATACCCCTCAAAACCTGTGTGTGACATGAAACTGTAGTGGAGTCTGTTTGATATGCTGTCATACAGTTAAACTTTAACATTCGATGATTGGACTAAATAACACTAATCACCATAAGTACACCTTTTTTCTATCCTGGAATTCAGACAATAAATTCAAATTTGAAACTTTTACTTTGTTTCATATTTAGATTCAGTTTGTATAGGCCTTTAGCTAATCTTCCAAACTTTTTACTCTCTGTGGCTCTTGATCGAAATATAATTATCATTCACCAAGAGTTCCTGTGAGAAAATATTTCTAAAATCTATTCCTAAAAACAGTCATGCAAAGTGTTACTTTTTTTATTAATAGAGATTTAGAGTCCTTAGAGCTTAAGTATTGTGCAGCTGTTAAAACAACCAACCTGTCAATCCTCAATAATGGCATGAAAAGATTGGGCTACTATAATGTGGCCATTTAACTTTTCATTCTTTATGTTAAAAAAAAAACCAATAAACTTTATTACCTAGTGTCTTGTACAAATTTAATGATTCTAAGTTTATTGGAGCAATTTTGGAAGAGGGTTTAGCTTCTTAACATTTTAATAAGGCCCTTTTTCTAGCTAACTTGGACTTCAGGGAGTCGGGGCATTTATATTGAAGGCCACAGTTGGATGCTGTGCTCCATGGCATCAGTTTACCAGAATGTGAGTCAGAATCTCAGGTTGCATGCATCCAGGAGCAGATGGTTATGTGGTGGTGGCCAGCTGTATTTATATCTCTCTTTGGGTATGAGAGTTATTCCAGTAGAATAGAGCTCATGGTCACAAACTGAAATGCAAATTGTCACTCCCCGTAATTGTATACTGTTATTCCACAACAGCACTGAAAAACTTAAGAGAACTAAAGTGCTTATGGAAAATTGAAGTGAGTAAATGGAAAAGGAACACTGTCTTGGTGGGGTAGGCAGAATAATGGGCCCCCAAAGATGTCCACATCCTAATGCCCAGAACCTGTGAATATGTTAGGTTACATGGCAGAGGAGAATTAAGGTTGCTAATCAACTGACCTTAAAATAGGGAGATTACCCTAGATTATTTAGTCCAGCCCAGAGTAATCACAAATATCCTTAAAAGTGGAAGATGGAAACAGAAGAGTCAGTTGGAAGAAGATGTGACCGTGGAAGAAAATCGCAGAGAGATGCAACCTTGCTGGCTTTGAAGATGAAGGAGGGGGCCACCAGCCAAAGAACGTGGGAAGTGTCTTGAAGTTGGAAAGGAAAAGGAAATGGATATTCCCCTAGAGTTTCTAGAAGGAGCATGGCTCTGCTGACACCTTTATTTTATCCTGGTGAGATCTATTTTAGACTTCTGACCTCCAGAATTAGAAAATAATAAATATGTGTTGCTTAAGCCTCTAAATTTATAGTAATTTGTTACAGCAGCAATAGAAACCTCATATATTTGGCTTTGAAGCCTCTGACCTAAGAAAAAAAACTCAACAGTTTTTGTATGAAATATATGCAGTGACTCAGCTAGTCCTTTATGTATATTAGGTAACTGGTTAATTTTAGCTTTAACCAAAATGTAGGTTTTTGCCTTGATCTCTGAAACTGTGTGTAGGAGACATGCATACATGTTAACCAGGGGCAATATAAGAATCTATAAATACTGAGCAACATTGGAAAAACTAGGTATTTACTGTGAATTATTTCAAACTATTGTTATGTGACATGCCAGGCCAGGAGAAGGAATACTGTTAACTGGAAATAAGCTAGAAAGAAAAAGAATTAAAGCTAACTGAAGTTTAAATATTTCGTTAGTCAGTATCACAGGTGATGAATTTTCTTCGAATGATGCAGATTCATTCACTTGTTTACTAGCTAAGTAATTCTCCAAGTTACATAATAATTGCTCCCAAAGATAAGAAGAAAGAAGAAATGGAACAAAACCATCAGAAATTAAAAGAAAAAGGCACCTGTATTTTCAGCTTCAAAGTAGTGCTTAGGGTATAATAAGTATTTAGTAAATGGCTGAATAAATGAAACTTTCTCTTTCCAAATTGTCAATGAGTATTCTTTTCTTGTTCTGTCTCCTCCCGAAACATTCGAAATGATAGGAATTTTAAAAATATATCAACCAGATCTCTATTCAGATGTGTATGGTAAAATGTCTAACAAATGAGTCAAAGTCAACTTCTTTGAAAACATAAACTGGATATTTGTCATTAAAAATTAAATTAATATTGATATTGGATTTATAACTTTTTGATTTGTAAGGATTGAAACCAAGATCTGGCGAGTCCATTTGCTCTGTCTGTGATGCTCACCATCTTCAGGGTTATTCTTAGGGCTACTCGTTGCTCCTGTACTGAGTTGTCATTCATGCTTTGGCAGAACATTGCTGTTTAGGCCCTGCCTACTCACGGTGTGAGCTAAGGACCAGCAGAATCAACTTACTCTGGGAGCAGGTTAGAAATGAGGCATCTCTGGCTTCACCCCAGACCTTCTGAATCAAAATCTACATGTTAAGATCATTAGGTGATTCCTACTCACATTCTAGTATGAGAAATGTTGCTCGAGGCCACACTTTCTGTTTTGTAATTAACAATCTATAGGACCCAGACTTAATATATTAATTCTGCTTACTTTCAAAACATATTTAAGGTGATTTTCACAGTAACATAATTAAAAACATGTAAAAAATTACAAATTGAAAATAAAAGAAAGAGAAAATATGTATCAAGCCCTAGAAACGGGTTAGTTATTACAATTGAGAAAAAAATTAGATAATCTTCAAGGCAACTAAGAAAAGATTTCATGGAAAGATTTGTTTTATCTTTTAATTCTATTTTTCCACAAACTGAAGTATCCTTGCACATGTTTGACTGCATTGTCCCTAGTGCTAGGATAAAGGAAGCATATAAAAATTTATCAGGAAAAATGCCATTTTTTCCAGACACTGACTTTTCGAGGTTATTTGTCACCCAAATCCTTATATAAAGGACATTGGATAATGTCTTTGATAGGATTTTACCAGAATATATATAAATATTCTT